GTAGCAAGAGTGATACAAATTGTTTCTTCCAGAGCACAATGTCGGCTGTCCATTGCAATGACAGTTTACAAATTCAAAATCGGTCTGGAGTCGGTCGATAACGGACGATTACGCCACTGTTTATGTTCGTTCGCGCAGCTTTCGATGAGTCATATCGTTCTTAACTTGGACGGAAATGAAATTTGTTACAACGTTGCACTTAATCTTTCGTATTTGTTGTTAGTAATTTAAAAGACATTTTGAAACATATACGGAACGATAATAATTTTTTAAAATATAACAACACAAAAATGAAAAGGGAACTCGGGTACATTTATCGAGAGCCACAAATAATCCTTCAAAGAGCCGCATGTGGCTCGCGAGCCGCAGGTTGGCCACCCGTTATATAATTTCATGCAAGCTACAAAGGTTTCTTCTTTTTGATTTTCCATTAAGCATTGTTTGTAGATGGAAAACTCACATTCTATGTGAGCATTACCACAGGATATTATTAAAATCATTTTCATAAATGTTTCAAATTCTTTTACTTCACCACATTGATGTAACAGACTAAGCCAGAAAGAAAACCTATTATGCTGTCTGGAGTAGTGTTTAATCACATCACTAATTCCTGGGGATGACAAAATGTCTTTGAATTGCTTAGCAATCTTATCAGCTGTAGAATTATTTATCCACTTATTAGCCATAAGTTTCTAATGTAATATCAAGCAGATTTTGTACTTTCTCTGTATTCCTTATTCCTTGCATAAGCTGGATTTAGACATAACAGTCCGTTGGTTAATTTGTATTTCAGTGGCAACTTTTCCAACAATTTGGTGGTTACAACTCGTAAGTAGTTTGCAGTCTTTTCAAATTTCTAAATCACTGTCAGTTACTCCTTTCATTCTAACTTTTCTAATTTTCTAATCTTTAGTGGTATATCCAAGGTCTACTGTATATACTGTATAGAGATGCACATCAGTAATGTTCTAATTTACTATCTGAAATCTACAATCATAGGGTCAGACACAGACTTTTATTAAGGAAATAGTTAGAAAAGTGACAGGTATCAAGAAATTACTGACCAAGAAGTGACCATTAATTTCATATTGCTATTTAAAAAAATGGAGGCAGAGGAATTCAAAAAAACATCTCACATCTCTGCATTAAATGAAGTTTATTTAGTCCTGATATTACATATAAATTATATGAATATATTATTGATCAAAGTATTAAAAGTATTTCATTAAAAATAATTATTTGTTATTATGAAATCTAGTAGTTCATAAAAAAAATAAAATCTATGTTTATTATCTTTTAACTGTAAATTAAAAATTTATAGCATGTAAAACTTCTTATTTAAAATATATTTCACTAATTAGAATCAGCAAAATTTCAATAGCTGGGTGACACTCAAATGAAGTAAAATCACAGTGNTTTTAAACTGCTTACTCATTTTTATCTTAGAGAACATTTTTTACAAATTAATAAAAAAATTAAAGTTAAAATAAAAATATTTGTTATTAACCAAAAATCTCAAATCTTCTTACGCGTATACTGGAAAATGTATAAATTAACACTCATAAACCTTATATAACTCCAGTAATAAACACTTAATAGCAAACTAACGTTTTCAACCGTACATTCGGTCTTCTTCAGGTTTAAAAAACCAGTTATATTTGAACATGTGAATGCATAGAACAAAAATTCTGAAATTTTGATTTCAGAATTTTTGTTCTATGCATTCACATGTTCAAATATAACTGGTTTTTTAAACCTGAAGAAGACCGAATGTACGGTTGAAAACGTTAGTTTGCTATTAAATGTTTATTACTGGAGTTATAAGGTTTATGAGTGTTAATTTAACCAAAAATCTGTTTTAGCAGGTGGTGACTGTTTGGTTGAGTACAGAGGTACAGTACTACTGTATTTGATTAACGTAATTTTGATATATGTGATAACACCGAGAAATTTATTAATCATATTAACTCCTTTACAGTGAACTTCTTTTGTACTTTTATCCCTTCCTCTTCTAAGTGCTGTTACAATTCCAACCCCGTTGTCCTTCCTTCAATTCTTAGTGCTTCCTCCAGGTATCGTCATGCTCTTTTTTATTTGCCACATCTTGTATTATAGGGCGTACAATAAAGTACTAATTTATAAACAAAATATGTAGTCTTGGAGATTGCAAATGCTTTGTGTACTAAATACTAACCAACTGTGGGAACAAGACTAAGACTAAAGAGGATCCCAAGACTGAGAAAGGCAATTTCCTGTGCTGGATAGCTAGCTGTAAGAATAATATGAGACACCTGGAGAAAGAATAATATTGTATCAATATTGTGAGAGTAAATAGTGCACATATTGAGATTTCTCAATGAGAAATCTTTGAGTTTGTTCGCTAATTAGAACAAACCTGCAATTGTTCTGAGTTTTGTAAATTTTAAAAATTTTGATGTTAATCATTTATTGATCAAAATTAATAATATAAAAATGAATTCTTCTTGGTTTGTCCTTTATACAAATCTTTATTCTTAAACTGAGCTGGACCAAAGTTTGTATGTAGTTTGTAAACTCTAGAACTGACATTAAACTATGTACTACCCCAAAATATTGATTTAATTTCTACATATTAATTAATTTCTGCCTACATCTAAATTGCTGCTTTTACATGTAGCATCATCTGTTGGCAAAAATTTTTTTTTTAAAAATAAATTAAATTCATACAAAAAAAATAATAAAAAAAAATTATTATGTTCACTTGATTACTGCAACAATCATATAGCACAAAATAGATGCACTATATCATTACTGCAATGGATAGCTCATATTATTTACTTGCATGGAGTTGAAAGTTACACTATGAAAACTATATAAGTATTTAATTTTCCACATCTAACAACTCAGAGTTTTTCATTTCTGAATAGTATTTTCTTAATTCTAATAACTTTTCTATAAAATTTGCTATTTACAAAGACATACTTCCCAATTAGTTTATAGGCATACTGATAATGTTCTTAAAATGGGTCATGTGCAGGGCCATCACAACCTATCCAACATGGATCACTTTTCAAATATTAATGAATTCCAAAGATGTCCAAATAACGTCTTTACATTTTCAGGTTATATTGTGAAAAGTAGTTTTTATTTTTGCTATTAAAGTCAAATTTTTACATATAAGGACTTGGATATTTTTCTTTTTAAACAATATTTTTGTAAAATTAATCATTTCACGTTTTAAATTTTTCTCTTATAAACCCAGGCAGTGTCATGTACATAAGTTAGTAATTAATAAAACTTAAAAAAGTATGAAACATTTATTCTGATAATGACAAATTTTTGCTAGCTAATGTCTATCTGAGCTATGCTTAGATTTTTCTACAGCAAAATAAGATTTGAGCAATTGACTTACCAGCTAAACAATTGAATACCAATTGTCCATGTCACTGCATATTGTAGACATTAAAATTATTTTCTATTTAATATTTCCAAGTTTATTTTAACATTTATTATTACTATTATATATTTTATTAATATTATTTAATAAATAAAACAAAAATGAAGTGATATGATAAAATAGCGAGGTTGCGGCCGAAATTTTCATCTCTAAAACGCGAACGTCGAACATTGAGTGTTGCTATTTTATAAGCGGCACTTGACATTCGACATTCACGTTTTAGAGATGAAAACTTCAGCTGCAACCTCTCTAATATGATAAAAAAATTTTATCATTTATGTGAGGTTGCCAAATTGGAGATAACCAAATGTCAGGATTTATCGAATGTGGGGTGGATGGAAGTGAGAAAGACAGCTGCAGTTACAAATAAACCCATTTACTTATGCTAAATCTTACAATCTATAGTGCATCTTGTCAACTGTTGGAGCTGGACTGTAGTCAATGGCCTGGGGCAGTTGGTCAAGATGTTCTATGAGGGTCGGGAAGTCTGGTGATGAAGTATCGAAAACCAAACAGTCTAAGGCAGCAGGGTAAAGGGAGGAATGAAGAGTCCATACATGGAGCACAGGAGACTAGACAGACAACTTCACAACAGGAGGCAGAAGAAAGTCTCATCAGATAACTTCACAAGAACTTGGGAGGCAGAGGAAATCCACCTTTGTCCTTGAGATCAAGTCTTTTAAAGGATTCTTTTTTGGGTCTGTAGCTTTCCAACTAGTCAGTTTCTTGTATCCAGATAGATAACAGACAATTTCAGTCAAATCTGACACTGTGTTTTATTTGATCAAGAGAAATTAATCACACTTTGAAACTTCTGTTTGTATTTAACTATTGTTTCAAATTCTTGTAAGTCTTGAACAATTTTATTCTTTCCCGATTTTTATTTAGGTTTTTCTTCCAGTTTTTATAAGCATTAGAATTAAAGCTTTATTCCTTGATTTGAAGCTCTAACTCACTTATTAAAAAGTGAGCTCGAGTATTGCTCGAGCCTCACATTTAGTAGGTGATTTTGATATACAGATATACCTCAGGTTACGTCGTTTCGAGTTAAGTCATTCTCGATTATATGTCGTTTGTCAAAAAAAAATATATGTAAAAATAAAAATCAAGCTTAAGTCATTTTATTTGACTATATGTCCATCCGTCACAAATATTGAAGTTGTAATATCACTAGAAAAGCATTAAAAGCACATAAAATCATATTAAAATATNATCCTTTAAGAAATGAATTTTTTTGAAAAATAAACTTGTAAAAACTTATCTTTTTTAATATTATAACTTCTTATTTTTTTTTTTTAATTTCCAATTACTAGGAGAATTTTAGTAAAATAAGTGAATAGGTAATATGTTCCTATGGTATATGTAATAAAATGGTAACACATTTTCAAATGTTGCTTTCACTTAATATCAATATTGAACAATATTTTCTATTGATATAGTATGGCATATATGTAACTCCAAATTTAATTACATGCATTGGCATAAGACCAGTTAAAATTAATTTAATTTAAATAAATAAATGTAAGGAAAATAATACATAACCAAATAAAAGAAACAGTTCTTGTTTGTTTATTTGACTAAAATCAAAATATTGACTAATTTTATGTTACATCTGACAATGATGACTCCATCTTGGAAAAGGAACAACTTCTCTTATGTTAGGAATTGCAAGAACTGTCTGTAGAAAGCGATCAAATCCCATTCCAAAACCACCATGAGGTACAGAACCAAACTCTCTTAATTCTATATACCTGCAAATAAATAACTTTTTATTTATACATTTATATTAAAATTTATTTACATTTTTAATTTATAATATATATTTTTCAAATTTTATTACTATATATTTGGCACTTTCTTTTATATAAGTAGAAGGTTGCATATTATCAATGTTAAAAATTTTCATAAAATATATATGTTTTTGCAAAAGTTGGAAGTGAAAGACATGGCTTCACATATCCAGGACAGACCACCCATAAAGAATTTTTAGGGTTTTCAACATGCCCAGATTCAATCCCAAGTCTCCCAGACTGGCAGGTTGATACCCCTGTGTTTCTTTATGCAGCGAGAGTGTAGTGAAATAAGTCATGAGCAGTGTTGGCCAATTAGAAACCAGTTTCAGTGTGTTCGCTGTAAAGCACTTCATGAGTGCTGCATAAAGAAACGCGAGGCACCTTAATTGCTTCAGCCAGCCAGCTAGCAAATTATTATATTTAATGTATAATACTTTTCAATTATGCATAAAGTATTTGTTCTAATTCTTCAAAAGTACACTATAATTATGTTATTTGAGTTTTTAAAATTTATACTGTAATTTATAATTAATTAAATTACTATTATTTTAATTAATGATCAAATTATTTCATTAAACTGACTATTATGTGACTTAATACTATATTTTCGCAGTTTGTCCAGCATGTCAGTCTATCTGGGAGAAACTATGAAATCAGATATTTCCATATGGTAAAAACCAGCATGCCAGTTTATATCAGGGGGAATGCCAGCATGTTGGTTTAAGCGAGGTTATACATTCCTCTCTAGAGTGTGCATTAAAAGACTAATAAGTTTTTATTTTAAAACTGTGAAACTGTCAGCATTACATCAAAAACTACAATTGTATGTTTAATTTCTTTATTTTGTCTTCTTTCTAACCATTTAAAATACTAGTGGAATGATGAAAGTGGTTTTTTCACATTTATTTTATTGTAATTTGATTTAAAAATGCAAAAATAAACATATTAAATTTCAGAAACAGGTTGTAAATTATCTGGACTTAAACCCATTAACATCTGCTTTGTGTGAAATTTGAGAGGAAGGTGTTATTCTTAAGGTCAGGGTAGATAATCAGTGCATCTCATACTGACTAACTATTACTACTAATGTCAATAAGCCATTAATTGTTTTAATACATTGTAAATGAAAACTTTCTTCCTGATTTTAAGTTGGTAAAATTACAATGTTACTATTGTAATCAACAGAATTTTTTTAACATTTAATTAACAAGCAATTTTGTTACATCTGATTAATTTTATTTTTTAGTCACAGTTTAACAGGCATGCCAGTCATTCTGCAAAAATACAGTAATTTTTTTAATTTAATAACCTTTTATGAATCTGGATGAAATTAGTGGTATGGAATAACATATAATAAACTTAAATTTAAGAAACTAAACTCTTCTTACACACCAGAGGAAAATATACTTTCACACAAAAAACCTTCGTAACTCCAGTGATACTTGCTTTATACATCAGCGAACGTTTTCGACCCCATCCGGGTCTTCATCAGGCTATGTTTATGAGGAATTCGAATGCGTATGGAACAGAACATTAAAACGAACTTTAAGCGATTCAAAATTTCGAAAATTTCGAATTCCTCATAAACATAGCCTGATGAAGACCCGGATGGGGTCGAAAACGTTCGCTGATGTATAAAGCAAGTATCACTGGAGTTACGAAGGTTTTTTGTGTGAAAGTAAACTTAAATTTCTTTAATGTTTAAAATAATGATGCATAGCAAAAGGAAAAATTTAAGGATTCTTCCAACTTAAACATAGAATAACAACTAATCCTCTACACAAATGATGTATCTATTCCTTACATTTTCACAAATTGATGAAAAAATTTAGCTATATATGATATATTAGCTATTCAGAAATAATGTCTCAAGCTTTACTCATATTATTTTGACATCAAAATTTAAAAATTCAATTACATCAATCTATTTCTAGCTTCACATTTTCTAATGATAAATCATTAAAATAGCAAATAAGAGTAAATAAATATTTCAGAATTGGAAGGAATAACTATCAACAAATAAATATAATTTTGCTAATTTGGGTAATTACAACTTCACTAATCCTGTGAAGTAACTTGATACACATGGATGTTAGAAGTTTCAACTTTCAAAATTAAATATTTTAAAAATAATCCAATAATAAAATGCTTATCAAAAGATTTAAAAAAATCAAATTGTAAATTTTGATATAATATTTCCAACTTTTCATTAAACAAAGATTTATTTGGGCATTAATATTGTCAGAATATGGATATGATGAAGGGTGGTGTCGAGGTAAGACAAAGAATGAGAGGACTAAAATGGAATGTACATTAGAGCACAACACACGTTCAAAACTATAGTCAAAACCGTAGTACCACTTCCCTGGACAGAATTTACATAACTCAACTCACTACTCGCATAGCAGAGGAAAGGGCACGATGATTTCAAGGGCAAAGGTCACATACACAACTTTCTAACAAATATAATTATTTTTTGATAGTTATAATTCTTAAATCCAGTTTATCCTGTGGAATAATCATTGATCTTTTCTAATAGAACTTTAGGAATAAAAATTCATGAGATAGCACATAGCTGATTTTGATTTTCAATATAGAATGGTAAATATAACCATCAATAAAAGATGAATAAAGAAATATTAAAGACGCTTCATAACTAGAATAATGATTATGAAGACTATTATAATTAAAAATAAAATCAAAGAAAGAATAAAAGAAAAACCAACAATATTAAAATAAATAAAAAGAAATATAAAAAATGATAAAAAAGCAATATCAAAAGTTCTTTCTATCTATTTCCAAAATAAAAAGTATTTATGAAAAATGTATTTGGTACAAATAAAAATTCATTCAATTCATTCATAAATTATTTATATCACACCACATGTTGAATATTAATAAAACTCACAAAGTGAGTTTTATTAATATTCAACATGTGGTGTGATATTTGATTTTTCTAAAAAATTATTAAATGATAGATTTGTCAAACTGTATTATTATTATTTTTTAACATATTATTTATTGATAAAAATAATATCTATCTAACCAATGCTATTATATAATGAAATAAGCAACAATATATTACTGCATATATTATGAAATTACCATTGCAATGTTTCAGAATCAATTCCAGCTTGGCGTATTCTGATTTTTAATTGATTTTCATCATCTTCTCTTAAACTACCACCACAAATTTCTCCACCAAAAGGGGCAATCAGATCAAAGCAAGAAGCCTGAAAATATAATGTCAAAGTATATATAATAGCAAAATATATCATTAATTTTGTTAAAACAGTTTTTGAAATTCACTGTAATAAAATGAAAATGATTGCTTGAGTTAAATTTTGACAGCTATTATAAATTAAATAATAAACAATTTAAAAGTAATATTTTCTTTTCTAATTCATTTTTTGCACTTTTTCCAAACTGATTAATCATATTATCTAACTTTTCTACACTGAGGATATTTTATTCAAATAGCTTAAACAAATCCATGCAAATAATATAAAATTTGTAATTTAAATTAAATAGAATATTATATTGAATGAATTAGTATCTAAATAATGAAATACTTCAATAACTCATTAACTAAATAAATAATAAAATACTTGCTGTTTTTTCTGAAGACATCTTCATATAGAAAGGGGTAATGTTTATAGGAAAATTCTTAATAAAAATTGGAATATTTTTACAATATTTCAAAAGAAAATCTTCATGTTCTGCAAATAACTTTTCACCCCACTGAAATTTTAAAATATTTAACATTAATAAGTTTACAATAATTGTTATATTTCAACTTAAAATTAAGCACTAAAAATTAAATTCTTATCTATACATATATCAGACATGGACAAATGCGGCTCTTTTTGAGTTACATGTGGCTCTTGCTGAAAGTGTTAATTTCTGCTTTTTTATTATTATTTTTACAATTTTATTTCCACAATTTTGTGAAAATATGTTTATTAAAAAAAATTCAATATTTGTTTTATATTATATTTATACAGTGGGTGATCGGTTAACGAACATAATCCGTTCCAAGACTTTGTTCGTTATCCGAATTGTTCGTTAACCGATTATCGATTTACCATAGGTTTGTATGGGAATTTGATTAATTCGTTCCGAAGACTCCAAAAAATAAAAAAAATATATACTTTTTTTACTACATTTATTTACATGTAATAGTAAAAATACATACATATGCTGTCTTGCATTTTTATTAGTCATGTTTTATCCGTTTGTGGGGGTTAAACAATCTGTCCAATGTCGATTGCTTTTCTCTTTTCTTCAGGATTTTTCGGAAGTAATTAATAGTATTGTAATTGTAGAGATCCCCAACCCAATGAACCTTATTCTGCTTTGGTTGCCACTTGGATGATATAACATCCTCCCACTCCTTCAAAAGATCTTTAGTAGCAGATGTCGACATTGGTCCTCTTTCGTCTTCCTCTTTTCCAAAAGATAACACATTTCGCTGAGTTTCTCGGTATTCTTCATTTGAGAGTTCTTGGAGTTTTTCTGTCGTCAGATCAATTTCAGGTTCCATTATGAGCTCTAAAATGCTCTTTATTTCTCAGACGTAATTTTCATTACTCCATTAACAGCTTGAGACTTCTTGATATATCTTTCATAGCTAAGATTGAGCCTACTATAGACCTGTTCAAGCCATACTGCCTAGCAATATCAGACACCTTGTGCTCACTTTCTACCTTGGCTATTATCTCTTACTTGGTTTCTACGGTGAGCACAGTTCTTGACACTCCTCTTTTTAGG